TCAAGAGGATCGGCTAACGGGCAGGAGCAAAACGATGAGTAGGGAGTTGGGCGATCCGACGAGTGGTGCTAGGTATGCGGGGTTGAAGTGTGGCTGCGAAGCACTGTGGCACACAGGCAAACCTGGCTTGCATGTTCAGACTAAGCGGGGTGACAACTCTGTGTGAGAAGTAGGTGCGAGGCAACGGACTGCCCGCATCGGGGTGGTGGAGAGAGAGAGAGAGAGAGAGAGAGAGAGAGAGAGAGAGAGAGAAAACGAGAATGGGCGGTGTTGGAATGGTGCTTTTCTGCGACTCTTTTGCGTAATTTTGATGTCGGGCACAAGCCATCTCTTTGTTCATGGTTGTTGCGGGTCTTTCTTTTCTGTGAATTAATGCATGATTGGGTTTATCCCCCCTCGCCCCTTCCTCCTTCCACTTAGCTGCCGACTCCATTAATTGATTGCCTACACTCGATAGATGTATGTTCTCTGGCTAGTTCCCAGAAACGGTATCATGTGAGTAACTGAACGTTTTGATGCATGAGTGCTTGTTGTTTCCTCGCCTTCCTCTTTTTTTCGTAAGATAGATAAGCATGTCGGTTGATTAGATGTTTGTCCCACACTGAGCCTACCAGCGACATCTCTGGACTAACGGGTCGACGTGTATATGCAGAGTTCGTGAAAATTTCCAGCCTGATTGAAGGAAGATCTTGTGCACGCGCGTGTACGTCCGTCTGAAGGAGGTCATCACATACACGAGTGTCTGCAGGATCTGCCCCCAATCCGGCTGCCGGCCAAGCACCCTCGGGTCGAATGTATGGATTCTCACCCCACCCCGCAACATGAATGTCGAAACTCCCTTTCGAATCACTGACCGTGAGTGTATGAGGGATCTGGAGGCTATGTAACCGTTTGAACGCCGTGAACGCTCGTTTGCGTTTAAATGTGCGTTTGAACGCGGATTTAAATTCACGTTTAAAATTGAACGGCGTTCAATTATTTTTTTATTTTTTATGTTTTTTTAATTTTTTTGTTCGCTGCCTAAATTTTTTTTTTTTTTTCTGATTTTTTTTTTATGAGTTCTCTATGATGTGGGGTACATGCCTGTTAATTTTGGAGTCATTTTGTTAAGGCAAAAAAAATAAAAAATCGCTAAACATAGCGGTGTCAAATCGTGTTCGCCCACTCGTTTTTTTACTTTTTATTTTCTGTTTTCCTAGGCTACTAGTCGGGCCGCCCGAGGGCCTGGTCCCACTAGCAAGGTATTCTACCACGCCGTTTAGGATTTCGATCACGTGTGGCATCGAGTGACTCAGTACGACCGTCGAATAAATCGGATGTCGACGGCCTGGTAGTTTCCGAGCGGGGATTGTAAAGATGCCAACCTCCCGTCCAATGAGATGCATCGAAAAAAAAAAGAAAACAAAGTTGAACTAACTTGGACATGATAGCTCGTGGCTTTGCATGGGCAGAAAGTCAGGAATTTATGGGCTTTAAAGGGGGGGGGGGTTGATTTCCAGACTTCGTTTTTTTTTTTTTTGGCTCTGAGAAATAAAACTTGAAATGTGAAATTCGAATATTGTGGTGCATCTGACAGGAACACTTCCGCGTCTGTCGCATGGCCTTCTAAAGGCATCATGAGATACATCGCGAGGAATGTATCCCAATACCCGTTACTTGTTCATCCTCGTGAATGTGTTCGTGGACACATTTTATTGCCACGGTACATCACTATGAAGACTTACGTGAAGGAGATCGTACCAACCCATGAATTCGGGTGCACAACTGTTCTTCATAGTTTTATGTGTTATTTCAATTAATTTTAAATCAGAAAATGATCCATTCATGCAAATATTAAATCACTTTCTATTTTCCAAAAAAACATAAAACTGTGTCACACGTCGTAGAATACTTCGCTAGTAGGTCCAGGCCCCGGGTCCCGGTGGCCAGCCCGTGCAAGGACCAGGGAAGGTCCTAGCAAAAAAAAAAAAAAAAATCAAAGACATCCGAAAAAAACTATGTTATGCAGAAAAATAAACTGAACAAGTTTTGCCGTAGGGTCACATCGAACTTCTGCACCAAATTTAGAAAAAAAAAAAAAATTTAAAAATATTTTTTTTTATTTTTTTATTTTTATTGTTTTTGGCCCGGCCGGGCAAGTGACCCCGGGCCACTCTTGTAGCCTAGCTGTTTTCAATTTTTTTCGCCACCTAAGAAAAATTATTATTTTTTTACACTTTTTTCATGAGTTTTGTATAATGTGAAGTACACATCTTTAAATTTTTAGGGCATTTGGCTCTGCCAAAAAACAATAAAAAATTGCCAAAGATGACGGTGTCACAAACGTACTCGCGTACTCACTAATTTCAGTTATCTTTTTATTTTTTTCTATTTTATGTTTTCTATTTTTCTTTCCAATTTGGTAACGAATTTGGATGAAATGCTCAGGCAAATGTTGTTTATTTTATTTTTATTCATAACATATTTTGTTTTCGAAAGTTTTTTAGGTTTTTTTTTTTTTTTTTTTTTTTTTTTTTTTTTTTTTTTGAATTGAACTCCGCGTTCGGTCACGTTCATTGCATGCGCGTCCGCTCATCTCAGATGCTGGACAGCATATCCGCGTTCAATGAACGCGCGGTTTCATAGTCTGGAGTCGGAAAGAATTGGGAACACGCTTGTTTGTCTGCACGCTCAAGGACTAAGCTCCCAAAGTTTGCACACTCAACATGAACCGAGCGCATCTGCGAGTGGGATATTGGGCGGGCCTTAGAACGTATTCCCCATCTCCCCGACTATCCCAGCCCGTATTCGTGTCAGATCATCGTTGAGCTCGATATTGTTATCCTTGAACAAAGTTCCCTCCCTAGCACCGTCTATTGCCCTTCCACTGCATGATTTGCCCCTTGGAGAGCACTCCCCCCCTGTTGGCGACAACCCCAATGTTCCGAGTGCTTGTGAGACCACGCCTACCGAGCATCGGGGTTCATCCGGCGAACCCGCTCGGAAGCCGAACAACAGGGGCACAGCCTTCAGTTGAGGTCGGCCACATCTGATTCTAAGATCTGCAAAACCCGCCGACGACGGGTGTTGCACCAGGGGAGAGCCATAGCGTCCCGACGATACACAAAATACGAATCCGTCCCAAACGACGGGACCAACGGAGGTGACCGTCCCGTTCCTCGAGGCCTAAAACAGAACCTTCGTCCTTCGCCTACCCACTTGCATTCATATCCTTGAACCTTGACACATGAGATCTCAGTTCCAACCTGGGACTCCACCCCCATTTTCCTAAAATCCTTGGCACACCTATTTTTCACACTTCCAGGTCCACCATCACTCTGATCAGGAAGTCGCGCTGGGCGTGAGGTTGGTCAAAACAAATGAACACGCCTTCCTTCTGGTATAAACCAGTAGGGCTCGATGCTGTGAGCCTCTCTATTCTGAGATATGAGCGACTTTGATGGTATGCGTGCATCTACTCCGGTTCGTACTCTGACTGTACAAACCTTCGTACGTCCGTGGCAGTTACATCTTCCGCAGTCGTCACTTGGGGGCTTGAGATCCTATATCCAGTACAGTTGGATCCGATGCACTCTTAAGGTTGCTGACTACCTACGACAACTCTTACACAACGGGAGGTGAGGAAGCTATGAGCCGGAGCTTTCTTCTTTGTTTCTCTTGTGTCTCTCTTTTGTTGTATTTTGTGTAACTTGTGTTGATGTGTTGCTTGTGCAGGTGGGTACCGCCGACGACAACTTTTGTGCCACCGCAGCTGGTATTCTACTCCTTTCTTCAGCTGAGGAGTCGATATTCACCGTTTGATTACTCTTACCGGTTAATCGAAGATTTGAATAGGACGTGAGGGGGATTAAGGATCTGGCCGAGAGTTGGGGTTGGATAACTATATATATACTAGGGCAAGGCACGAGGAATGACCCTCTCTCTTCGTATTGACGTCTTCCTCCTGAAGAGTCTATGGACAACGCAAACGAAACGCATCAAGGAATTGTCGTTATACTTTTATTTTCTTGAAGAGTTTCATGTGGATTTTGGAATCGTTTTCAATACTTTTGTCATTTGCTATGGATTGCTAAGTAATGAGTGTATCTTTCTCCTCCATCCTCATGCTGCCACTGTCATTGCTGGAAAGTCTACTCTCCTTTGATGCACGTGACAACCTCAAGTGAGATTGCACATTAGGTGGTGGCCACGCCTACGCTTGTCTGTTGTAAGAATGAAACGCGTTTTGCTTAAGTGTGTGTTCTGGTTGGAAGTTGTTGAAGTACTTATTAGCGTCGTCATCTACTATGATGATGTGGCAAGTATCGTCCGGGTCTTAGTTAAACATGATTAGTTATAGTTTGAATGTGAGGTTACTTTCTCTTCTACTCTTGCTTAAGTGTACGATCTGGTTGGAAGTTGTTGAAGTACTCGTTAGGGCCGTCCTCTACTTTGATGATGTGGCAATTACTATCTGTATCTTAGTTAGACAAGATTAGTTCTAGTTTGTATAAAATATATGCATGGTTACTTTTTTATACGTTTCTCCTGCTTTTGTGGGTTCACTGACCGGAAGTTGCGCATTCGTTCCTAGGGTTGGCAACGGTTTAGATATTGGGCTATTACTATTTCTTAGGTAGGTCCTGGTTTAGTTTGCTAACAGATCTATGTATTGCTCTTTTCTCTTTCCTCCGTTCTTGCACTCCCGGATTAGTATGTTGGCACTATCACATGTATCTCCTTAGTTTTGGTCATGACAGAGTAGTACGCTGGTACTATCATTTTTTTTCTACCTCCTTTCCTTCTTGGTGCACCATGGCGGCCAACGGAGGGGGAAACCAATGCTTTAACTGCGGGGGACAGGGGGCCGAATGTCCAGAGTGCATAATTGATTGCACAGACTCTTTCTTCTTGTTAGAGCCTTTGCCCGTGAATGTCCTTCCGCAGTCGGTAATCAGAATATACCCACGGGTAGGGGTGGAGACACTCTGGGTTCCACGACACGCCACGCCACTGGACTCCTAGGCGGCAGCAAGATGATCCCGAAGAACGAGAGTTCGTGCGAGAGTTAATCGGGAAGAAGAAGGAGGAACAGAATAGGAAAAAAGAAATGGAAGAGAGAAGGATAATGGATGAGAAAATTAGATCCGAGATCGAACGAAATGTCGAAGCATCGGAAGTTAGAGTCATGTCGAAGATTCGGAGAAAATACTTAGTCGCGAGGGACAAAGTCAAGAGGGAGGAAATCAGGACACCTGTCCATCGCACTCCGATAAGGAATGAGAAAGATGAAGAGTTCGGAGATTATGTCAACAAAGGTCAAGAGGAGATAGAGGACGAGATTGTCAAACTTTATAAGCTTCGTGAAGGGAAACACAAAGGGAAGGATCTCTCTGATTTAAACAAGCAACCTTTTGGACAACTGGTGTTTCGACGAGGCAACGATGACGACGTGGCGGCGGAATCCCCTCGCATGGGAGAAAAACGGAATCATACCAAGATAGCAGCCGGTTCCAGACCTAAAGGTATACTTGCCTATGTGCAAGCTTAGAGGAAGCCCCTTGTTGCGGAAAATAAGAATCAATTGAAGGCGATCTGCAGAAACGAGGGCGTTTTTTGCACCACCAAGGCACTCACGATTGAGTCACATGCGAAGATGGCGTATGAAGGCTTTGTTTCCACACCGGTTGAATCACCGGTCGGAAGCACTGACCTTGAACAAACACCGGCTATGTGACTTTTGCCCTATTCTCTGTTTCGGCTATGGTTGTTGGAATGTATGAGACTTTGGAACCAGGCCTGGCTCTTGGGAGGTTCACCATGCGCCAGGATGCTCTTCGACACATGTATCACGTTGTGCTTCGTCGCATTAGCAATTCATTGGGAGATTACTTGGATGAGTAAGTTTCATTCGTTGTTACTCGAGGTTAATTGAAATACTTGGGAAAATGATCCTGTTGTTTACACTTTTTCATCTCCTTGGTGTAAAGCGCAATACATTGGCTGCACAATCCATAGTATTTATATCTGGTGGGGTGAACACCTGCGGATGGAGAAGTCGCGTGGATTTGGAGTTTGTCCTAAACTATATCATTGGCGAAGGCATTTAGGGGTTTTGAAGTATGTAGTTGTTCTGCTGATTACTGGAGTCTGTTCGGTCGATGCCACAAAAAAGTACTGATTAGGAATTTCTCTCTCATCTTGAATTTCCGGAAGACGTCTTGTAAACCCAGATGACCTTTGCGACCAACACGAAGCAGAAGAAAAGGTAAGGAGACTCTCGATTTACGGATTGGTATTATCAAACTCCGTAAGGAGGGTGAGCTTTGGGCTGGCAGTTTCCTATGTATTCTTCGGTCGACTTTTATGCATAATAGGAGGTACTTTTTGATCGAGACGTCGGGGGGTTCTTTGTGGGCTGATACACGGTTGTTGACCAGATATTGTTTAGACTTACTACAATACGGATTGGTAATGCATGTTTTCTATTGAAGGAGAATACGATCGAGCAGGGAGGAATCTGGCATATAGGTCCGGTTGTTTTTACTCTAGGGTGTAGGGCGATTTCAAAAGGGCTTGCATATGCTTTTGCACCAACCTTGGCTACGCCGATTGCTGAAGTTTAAATAGGTCGATTTACTCATGCATTGGTATCGAGCAATACATAATTTCTTAGGGAAAGCCACAAGAACTACACTTAGCGCCCGTTAGGGATATTCTGGCCAGGGCTATTAAATCCCAGACCGGGATGGACGTACGTCGAAGGGTGGTCGTACGTATGTTGATCACCGACTGAGCTCCTCGAGGATTCACAATTTGGTACTTTGTTTACTGGGTACATCTGATTTATCAGTTGGGGTTAAAGAACTGGTGCAAAAGAAGGATAGATTTGTTTGGCGAAAAAAATAAATCGGTATCTCGTTTTCTCTGAAATTTTTATCAGGTTTCTCGTTCGTATGATTCACCATCATGCAACTGTCATTCCGAAACTGCTTGGAAGCAGATTGGTATGCATGTTTGCTCTCGCATTTATGATATTTCGGGTATTCCCTCATTACTGCTCAATTCTCGTAATATTCCGAAAATTTTACCACTACATGGTCAGATTCAGCTTGCTAAGCAACTTGTGGCGGTGACCAACTACCTGCGGTCGGACTACGTCATCTCTGAGCAAGATCTGTCGGCATGCTGGATATCTGCGACTTCAGGGGATGATTCCTCTGCACTTTTATGTCTGGCTTCTTGGTACTCGGGTCTCAAGGTGTTTGTTTGTGTGTCGTTTGACCGCAATAATGCTAACACTCTGATTGTCTGCCCTGTCATCTATCGTCATTATCTATCTATGACTTTTGAATGGACCTTGTCCTTCTCTCCGATTTCTTTAGAGGTGGGAACCCTGATGACGCAGATGAAGGATGATTTTCACGACAACCGTCTACACTGACTCTTTAGGTGTTGGGGAAGTGGAACCCATCTGGGACCTTTGCGAATGCCTATATACTCCCTAAACACAAGGACCTTATCAGATGGCATCCCATTTCACCAACCTGTGATGAACCTGCTAGGCTTGTCAGCACGAGGGTAGCCAGGGCACTTAATGCATTATTGCTTGCCTTTCCAGTCAAGGAGTCTTTTAATTTGAAGGCGGTCATGGATTTCATGTCAGGGATCGGTAGTATTGATCGACGATGCAGGACCTTGAATGGCTATCGAGATCTTATCTTAGCCTCTTATGATATCAAAGATATGTTTGTTTCTCTCCCTCATGGTGATATCTAAGATGCGGTCGGATGGCTCCTTAATTTCTTTGACAGACGAGAATGCCAAGGGGTTAAGGTTGCCAAGAGAAGAAAGAAGGTCTGGCTATCCTATGGAGGGTCAAGGGATGAAATTCAATTGTTATGGTACCTTTGGCCTTGATTCATGAAATGGTGTGTTCGACTTGAAGTATGCTTTCATTCACTCGGGTGGGGTCCTATTAAGGCAAGTGACAGGAGTACCTATGGGTAAATCTTCTAGTTATCCTCTCGCGTGCATCCTCTGCGCCTTTTCCGAATGGAAGATTCTTGTCGGCCTTGGCTATGGTAGACAACTTCTTGAGGGGTTTCGGATCGTGGATGACGTCACCATCTTTATTGCGGTTGTAGGGGAACAAGGTATGGAAGTTGCAGCACACATTCTTCTTCATTTTCAAGAGTGCTATGGGTCTGTCCTTCACCTTGTTAAGAATGATGCAGACTCTAGTCGTTGGACCTTTGCGGGAATCACTGTGTTTCGGAGGGGGATGACTCTTCACACCGTTGCGTTGGTAAAAATTCGACCACTATTTGGCAATCCGGGAGTCTGTTTTTTTGTAGTTTTTAGGATTTTTGCTCTTACTCTCAGCGTGGCAAATGGGTCAAAGTTGGGGCTACTATCAGCACCCTCCATCGGATTTTTCGATTAACTTCGAATCATTGGGGTCGGCATGAGGCCGTTTTGGTAGTAAAAAGGGAACTTTTATTAAGAGGTTAACCCTTACGTTTAGTGCTTTCTACTTTTACAAGATTCGGGGAGAGGATGGGTTCGGGGGCATCGGAGGTGCTATTGGCCTGTGCTCGTTGAGGATTTGGAGGGAATATAGGTATATATATCTCTGTGCATCTTGGTCCCCATTTCGTCCTTTGTGTGCTTTCTGCATACTTGGGGTTTGGCCAAGGTTGCCAAGCAGACCTTCAGGGTCTACTGATACCCATAGGCACCCTGAGGTGGGTCTTTTCCCTTCACTTACTGGTGGATCGATGGTTACCTACCTCAAGGGCATTTTGGATTTAAAATGGCACCCGTAACTGACCCAGCCTTCGTCAGTGCCAGGTACCTGGTTGCATCTACCTTATGCGCCTCTTTGCACGATGGGGTGTTTGTTGTTTTTCCGAATGCATTTGGCGCCTTTTGGCACCCCTAGACATGTATTTCGTACGTTTTTTGGCACTCGGGGCTTTAGCACCATCAGATGAACCGACACTCTCTCCTCCGTTGGATCTAAGGCGGTTGTGGGGGCACGCTCGCACCTAGGTGTTGTAAGACTGAACGCGCCTTCCTTGTGGTATAAACCAGAAGGGCTCGACGCTATGAGCCTGTGACGAACCGATTTCGGTTCCGCGCGACTTTCTGCGCAATGACAATGAGGGGTCCTAAGTTGGGAAGGTTGGGCCAATTACGGGAGATTGGGATTGAGGGAGAATTGCATCAGTGTCCTTGTTTTTTCGTCTTTTCTCTTTCGTCGCTTCTTTTCGGATGGCTGGATTCAGGGTCGGACAAGTCCCGGGATGATTGATTGAGTGGCTGTCGCGCCGACCAGGCGCAATTAATAATGGTTGACGTCGCTTCTTTTCTGTGCTGTTATCGGATTTAGGCGCGGAGGTCGCGTTTCGTTGTTTTTGAATTTCTTTTTCGAATCTTGTCGAGCCCTTGACGGCTCTCGGAACTTTGGATTTTCTTTTCGGAATTTGTGTTTCTTTTTGCATTAGCTAGGAATTTCGGAATTTAGGAATTCGGGATATCTTTTGCCGCGCGTCGTCCTTCTTGCGCGCTTCTTTTTGCGGCTGCAGCGGAGCTCCAATTAGTCGGCGCCCTTAATCTTGTCAGTAACTGTAATTTTGGGTGGGCGCCATTGTAACTGTATCTTTCTTCTTGAGCTTCGTCTTTCCCGCTCTCCCTTTTCCTTTTTGTTGTGCCTAGTTAGCCTGCAGCCTGCATGCTCGGATCGATGCGTGGAGAGTGGCTACGTCCCCCACGTCGCGATCTGGCCATGCAGAACGTTGGCGCTCCCTCTCCTAATCTCCTTTCTAAGTCCTTGCAATTTCGTGTTCTTCGCGCATGCATGCACGCTATAAATTCCGGCTGCGCGATTAGATAGCTCTCTTAACCTGTTGTTGGAAGCTCGGGAAGCGTGATCAGTGAGGGTCGACTCACGAGCAAAGTAAGTGGTGAGTTGAAGTGGGAGTCGGGCGACCCAACGAGCTGGTGCCGAACACGCGGGGTTGACGCGGGCCACGACGGACCGTGGGCGCGGGCGAACCTGACGGGTGCGGGAGGGCTAAGCTGGGTGACGACTTCGTGGGTTGGTGCGTCACGGCGGACAGTCCGCATTGGAGAGGAAAACAAAAGAAGAGGGAGCTGAGGTTGATGGACGTGGTTTGCAATTTTCTTTGTCTTGTCTCCCTCCTTGCTTTTTGTGTATAAATTTTGATCTCGGCTCAGGGCGATTCGCCCGTTCTCTTTTGTTTTTGAAATCTTGGCTTGGTTTCCGTCCGCACTCGTTTTTGCGATTGGTCCCGATCTCATTTATCGCGTGTTATGTCGAATGAATGGATGAATGAATGTTATGTCTGTTTGTTTTTCGTTTGTCTGTTCGTGCCTTCGCTTGCCATGTTGATACCCTTGTGAGCATAGTAGGAACTTCCGCGTAGTCATCACTATTGATGTTTGTTTTTCTTTGATCTACTGTTGTTGCTGCGATGCCTGATGTGCAGTAGCACCTGGTATACGCAGGAATGATTGCGCGCAGGATCACGGAGTGATTAAATGATTGGGTAGTTGTTTGTCCAGAAAGAAGCGAATATCTCGCGGGGGTGCGTGTAAGCGCGATCTGATCTGCGCAGCCTACACGTATCCACGCGCGCCGATTTGCGACCATCGACGAACTTAACGCCCTCGGGCAGACGGGAATTGTCCTTCCCCTTCGCACCTAAACGGAAAGGAACCCCGATATCACGACGAAACATCCCCTTTCAAGTTGCCGATTAGACGCGTGTGGAAGAATCCTATCACACCGCAATGATACGATGCCGAGCTCCTGGGACTCGGAGTACTTTGACCCTTGGGTGAGGGAATGCATTAGACAAAGATATCCGGAATTCCCCTGCTTAACCGAGAATCGATTGTGCCCCAGGGAGTTTCACTGTGCTGTAACCAGCGATCCGAGGTGCCCCGATTATCCAACTACGGATAACTCGCACTACTTCATATCCCCCGGTTTCGTCGTTATCACTACTAACTTCCCTCCCTTCCGTCTCCTCCTCCTGTATCACCAACTCACGGTGGTTCCGTGGAACTCCATCGCCCCGTACTGGCCCCGCACGCGTTGCGGGAATTGTTGGCGACGCGGCAACCGACGAGCCCCTGAAACTAGGGGGCCTAACCAAAATGCGCGACGACACACGCCACGTGTCTGCGCCCAAAGGTCTGACTCATCGGGAACGTGACTATCCCGGGCGGGCCTATCCCCGAACCGCCGCCACCAAAACAGACGAATCGAACAGCCTTGAATGCACCGCGCATGCCATCTGCCTCATGCGGCACGACATCGAACGCCTCAGACTGGAAGTAACTCGCCCCCTTAGCCCTATTGCATCTATGCCCCTGAAACTTTGCCACAGGAGATCTCAGTTCCGACCTGGGACTCCACCCCCACTTTCCCAAAAAATCCTTGGCACACCCCTTTTCACACTTCCAGGCCCACATCCCACTCCGATCAGGAAGTCGCGCTAGGCGTGAGGTTGAGCGTCACAAGCCTCTCTGTTCTGAGATATGAGCTACTTCAAGTTGGATGGTATGCACGCAGCTGCTCCAGTTCTCGTACTCCGACTGTCAAGACCTTCATACGTTCGTGACAGTTACATCTTCCGCAGCCGTGGCTTGGGGGATTGAGCTGCCACATCCATTACAGCTGGATCTGATGCACTCCTGAGACTGCTGACTACCTACGACAGCTCGTACACAACTGGAGGCGAGGAAGCTATCAGCCAGAGCTTTCTTCTTTGTTTCTCTCTGTGTCTCCGTAACGGTTTTGTTCTGTGTTGTGTTGATGTGTTGCTTGTGCAGGTGGATACCGCCGCCGACGACTTCTGTGCCACCGCAGCTGCTATTCTACTCCTTTCTTCGGCTGGGAATCGATGTTCACCGTTCGATTACTCTTACCGACTAATCGACCATTTGGATAGGAGGCACGGGGGATTAAGGATCTGTTCGAGGGTTGGGGTTGGATAGCTATATATATACTAGGGAAAGGCACAAGGAATGAACCTATCTCTTTGTATTGACGTCTTCCTCCTGAAGACGCTGTGAACAGCGCAGACGAAACACGTCAAGGATTTGTCCTTGTACTCTTATTTTTTTGAAGAGTTTCGTGTGGATTTTGAAGTCGTTTTCAATACTCTTGGCATGCTCGATGGATTGCCGAGTATTGAGTGTATCTTTCTCCTCCATCCTTATGCTGTCACTGTCATTGCCGGACAGTCTACTCTCCGTATGCCACGGCCGAGCTGTCTAGGCCACACCCGTGGCTTGGCCATGGCCGAGATGTCTTGGCCACACTCATGGCTGGGCCATGACCGATATGTCTAGGCCACACCCGAGATGCCTAGGCCACACCCCTGGCAAAATGAGCCAAAAATGGGAGGGCCTGCTACTGGTAACTGCTCCCAGGCCAGGCCACGGGAAAAAGAGCCTTACCACTACCGCCGCCTCCCGTTTTTGCCAATTATTGAACCGGTAGGCCGTCGAACGCATGATTTACTGTTTTTCTTGCAGCTTCTAACTGGTCTTCGCCCAAGCTTGCAGTGGACTGTTATTTCTGCGAATTCTGAATTGTGCAGCGGTCACAGGTGCAGTTGTCTCATTTTTTTTTTAATTATCTGGAAGCCGGGTCCGGTGTCCCTTATAAGAAGCAAACCTTCATAATAGCATGATCCAGGCACTCCGGCCAGGTTCATGCTCCGGTAGTGGACACCAATCAAACTCAAGAAAGGAAAAGAAAAACAACAAAATGCAAATGCACAGATAGTTTCAGTGCCCCTATATCTATGAACCTTATAATGGAGAAAGAGTGAGGTGATAGCTGGGGGAGGACGACGGAAGACAAGGAAATGATAGGAAGGGCAAAATTACAGAACAAGAAGCAATTCGCAGCCAGTCAGGCCCAAGGCATTAATCATACGGCCTAATGAGGTCACTCAGGTTCAGCTGTACAATCTATATCAGATCCTAATTTACAGTCTATCCTACAAAGCAGTTCTGCAACCGACGATCATTAAAAAAAAAAAAAAAAAAAAAAGGAGGTTAAAAAAAAAAAAAGGAGGTCAAATTACCTTGTCCGAGGTAATTCAAAATTAATTTGGCGTAGTTGGTAAGGCACAGAAGTGGCATTCAGGAAGTCGTGGGTTCAATCCCCATTGGGCTCACGTATGATGCCTGGGCAAGTTTGGTGTTCTACCAGCTAGAGATAACCCGTTGGCCCCCCAAGCCAGCATTAGCAGGACCTTGGCTGATGTCGTTGGCTGCTATGCGGCGACAATATAATCGGCCATTAGACACCACCATGTGGAGTTTGGGGAAGGGGGTGTAGGGGGAGGTACAGGGACTGGCCATTGGTCGGTGCTAGCACCGCCGATTTCCCCCATGATTGGCAATGCCTGCCCACCCCTCGTCACCGTGATGATGAGGGACTGATACAGCCTTGCTCTCGCACCACAGCTCTGGTGCCAACCTACTACCCCATGGGCTGGGAGAGATCCGGGTTGGTTGGTGTTCCCCTGTACTATTAATAGACTGGTTGGTGTTCCCCTGTACTATTAATAGACTAGTGAGAGGATGAGATAGATGCGTACTACCAAGAAAGATACAATAAAGGAGGTTTTTTTTTTTTTTTTT